CAAGATTTCATGAAATAGATTATCAATGCCCTTATGAGTCTCTTTGCCTTCTGGGATACCAATTATCCAGATGTTTGGACATTTGATGGTATCTAGTATTTCTTGCATATTATTCTCATTCTTTTGGGCAATTTTCTCAGTCTTCGTGGTGGATTTTTCTAGGCCAGCTATTTTCTCTTCTGTGTCTGAGATTCTATCTTCTGTATGATCTAATCTGCTTTTAATACTTTCAAGGGGGATTTTGACTTTCTGTATTATAGCCTTCATCTCTAACAGGTCCATTTGATTCTTTTTTAAAGTGTGTAATTCCTCTTTTAGATCTTGCAAGAATTTCCTCACCTCACAGAACTCGGCATCTCCATTCTCTTTTCTCTTCTGCAGTTCCTTGTCTCTCTTCTCTTCCATCTCTGTTAGCTTCGCCATTATGAATGTTCTAAATTCTTTATCAGACATTGCCATGATTTCCATTGAACTGCTTGTGGATGAAGAGGAGCTATTCTTTTCCCTTGGAGGAGAGGTATTTTCTTGCTTTCCCATATTTCTCGTGGCCCTGCAGTGATTTCTAGTCATCTGAGGGATGGTGTTTTTCTTCCTAAACTTGTTCAATCTGAGCATTCAGGAGTGTGCAGAAAGAGGTGATCAGGAATCTCTTGGCCATTCGGTTTTGATCCCACATGAGTTTGTGGGCTGGAGGCTGAATTATCAGTAGAAAATCTTTATTTCTCTTTTTTCTCTGAAATCACTAGTTCTCAGGAGCCATGAAGGTGTCTTCCAGAACAGTGACTTTTAAAAGGTACAGAGAAGACAGTGAGGAAAGTGCAGAGAATGGGCCAAGCCATTAGGTTAGGAGGAAAAAGCGGCCAGTGTGGAGACTGTAAACAAAAGACTGCCTGGAGAGCTGGGCCTCGTCAGCACCTGTCTCGGGGTTTCTATTTCTGCATCCAGGGGACACAGCTCTGCCCACCTCTAATCCTTTCCCACTGCCTGATACTGCTCTAACCTCATCTCTGGGCCAAAGCTGTCAACATTTGTAGGATTCCAACAGATCACAGAAACTGCATTCCCACAAGAGCGATGGGAACAGCTCAACAGTCAACAGTGACGTCTCACTTCTGAAAGCCAAAGACCATTTCAGTGAGTCTAACGTGCCAATCTCACGTTCTAACAATTATGAAACAAGGCATAGCTCATCATCAATGTTGCCTATCACTGGCAGAGCAAACGTCAATGGCACATCTTAAATTGTGCGATGTACATTTGATCAAACACAATATTTGAAAACAATGGCCTCGGGGTCGGTGAGGGCACAGTGGTTAAGGGTGTTGGACTCCCACATGGCCAACTCCAGTTTGAGTCCTGGACCTGGCAGCTTACTTTCTCACTTTTCCTCTCGCTCTCGCTCTCTCTCTCACACTCTGTTCCTCTCTGGTCAAATTAAAAGAAAGAAAGAAAGAAAGAAAATTAAATAAAATAATTCTTTAAAAAAATAATAATAAAACAATGGCCTGGATGTTGCCAGGACTTCAGACATCGCTATCGCCGGCACGGAGTATACTGTCGTGCTTTACAGATTCCTAGTTTTGCCTACTCCAGGCCATGACAATGCCATGTCACAGACCCAGATCAAGAAGGTAGCCATCTAATGCATTTGTGCAAAAGATTCCCCTGCGTGTTCCTCCTAGACTGAGTGTGTGGGTTCTCTGCTCACACTGCTGCACTGGGCAGAGAACCCTGCAGTTACCATGCTAAGCACCCATAACCAGCTTTCACAGGACCTTCCACTGGCCCTTCCAGGGGTTTTAAATCACAGAGAAGAGCAAGACTCACATAAGACTGCAGCACTGATAGGGAAATCTCTATGAATAGCAACACGGCAAAGGGAAGGGGTCTGAAACAAAACTGTAGAAGCTTTAAGTCGTTTGTACAAAAGGACTTAAGGGTTTTAACCAAAGCACTTGCCACCAAAGCTTCCAAAATGTTTATGGACACACACATAGACACACACATACCACATGTATACACACATATTTTAACCAAAGCACTTGCCACCAAAGCTTCCAAAATGTTTGTGGACACACAGACACACACATACCACATGTATACACACATATGTAGGTGTCTATGTGTCTATACACACATATATTTAAAATTGTACTGTAATTTCTCATTTACATACATTCAAACTAGTTTCATTCAAATCATGGAAATCAGGTACAAAGAAACACCCCAAAAATATCTCCCCAGGAGTCTAGGACCCCGGGAGCTATTCGAATAAATAACTAAGACATTTAAATAAAAACTGTGCCCAGTTATGACTTACTGCTCAAAGTGGTGAAGATTCCAACAAGGAAATCGGCCACCTGTGCTGGGTCTCCGCTGTCCGGCAGAACTCGCAGACCGTCAAAAAACATGTCAGCAGCATCATAAGGCTGGAGCAGGCGCAGCAGGGAGTAGCCAGCGCGGTAATAGCCCTGGGACAGGAGAAAAAGCAAAACCGTAAGGCACCCCATTTCTTTCCTAACTGGCTGCTGAGAGGAAAGACAAGATTGGCAACATGGGGAAATTCAAGTCCAGAAGTCTCACTTCTATTTCCAACAAACACAGGTCACAGGGTTTCCACATTATATTCTAGGTCTCTCATTTTTTTGTCATTTTTTAAAAAATTATTTTATTAAACTTTATCTATTTATTTCAATTTGACCAGAGAGGGACAGAGTGTGTGTGTGTGTGTGTGTGTGTGTGTGTGTGTGTGTGAGAGAGAGAGAGAGAGAGAGA